GATGGTGCTTGACAGGCTGACAAAGAAAGATTTCCAGGGATGCTTCCAGGCTTAGCAGCGGCGCTGGGATCGTTGTGTTCACTCCCAGGGGAACTACTTCGAGGGTGATGGATGAATTTAATACCTGAGATAAGTGTACGGGTGTTTATAGGCGCAGTCTGGAAAATTTCCGATCGCACCTCGTATAAGAATGTAAATGATAATTACAGCTATGATGCCCATCTTGTAGATATGGTAGAAGTCTGTTTCGCTGGCTTGGCGTGTATGTAGTCTCTGCATGAATGAAGTCTAGGAGTCTCGTCCCGGAGAGAGAATCTTCGAGTTAACTACTAGTTCTTGTCTATCTCTACAAGGTTGAGTGAATAAGAGTCTCGTATAGTAATCCCTTCTAAGGTTAAATAGAAATCTCTCTTCCTAATATGGAATATAACGAAAATCCTAATTGGCTGTTCACGCCCTAATTTCAAATAAAGTTTATTTGTAGACAGTTTCTGATCGGTAACATCGAGTTCACATCGTAGGATGTTAAAAGAGTCTGCATAAAGTTTCCCATCAGTGTGTTTTTACGAAAGTCAACGTAGTCCTTTGGTTTTCTATGTCTTGTTGACTGTTTCTTAGCAAATTTTGAAATAGGAACTTGTTTTACTTGTTCTTATGAAATAATAACTCATGTTAATTACAATAATTCTATCAATACTTGGATTAACAATAAAGTATTAAAGGGTGGTTCAAGACAATGTCTTTTTCTCTCTTGTAGTCAGTCCAAGTGTACTTAGCACTGTGTCTCATAAATTTTGTCTCAGCCGTTGTAATTCTGTTTTTGTCCATTTTTAATGTCCAGTTTTCCCTGCCATATAAAATTGTGGGTTTATAAGTTTGTCATGGATCTGAATAACGCATAAATGCGCCTAGATGGACCAATGTACCTTGCCTGCGGCTCACAGCGTAAGGCAACAAGACGTAAGCTTCATTTTAATGGAGTGGACGTGGTTGGTTTCACAAACAACAGTGAATCAGTGTTATTGATTATGGCCCATATTACTTCCTTGAGGTTTTTACATAATTGTGCCAATCTACCTGTGTGGAATAACAGCAATGCCATGCATTGTCAAGGAAATGCCTTTACTCTCTGTCATGTGGATTTAGTAGTTTTTGCAGAATTACAGCTGTGTGACCAGGGTCTTGTTGGACTTCGGAGGCAACCGCTGTGGTACAGACCTCCTGAAAGAACTTCTGGGTGTACACTATTCCCGCACCATCAAGGCTTACGAAGAACTGTTGTGTGCACAAGGACATACATCGTACGTTGGGAGCCTTTGCTGTTTTCAAATCAGGTATGTTTCAACTTTCAACCATTTTTTTCCATGATGTTCTTGACATCATCAGAGATTTTATGAATCCCGTTAATTAAGTGAAAACAGACCATGTTCAAGGTTCACTTACTTGAAATTCCAAATTCTACGGGCGATATTTGATTACATCTGGATGACATCAAAGAAAGTTAGGAATGTCACAAGTTTGTAGCATTCTGTTCGTCATTCAAAAACTAGTTTTGAATGATGTCTTATTTTATTGACAATTCTCTTTGCCCTGTTTGTTGTACACATACAAATTCTTTTGTCTTCCAGTGGTTAAGGGGAAGGCAGGGTGATACTTATGACCCTGAACAACTGGATGTTCTGCTCTGGCTTTGAACCCACTACTGCTGGCTGGTCAAGGTCGAGACCTCCATCGACAGTGGTGCAATCACGAACATCAACTAAGGACGGCAGGACCCACTCGTGATCCACAACCTGCAGCAAGGGAATGGACGTGTGAAGTGCGACAGCTACCTGGCAAGACGGAAGCTTTATCGGATATGTACCAAGGTCCTATGACAAATTCCGTGGAAGTTGCATGACTACAGACTAAATGTATAACAGTGAACAAAACATACAATTTACCACATAGGGATTATGCAGAATGTCCATAAATGATTATGCTCATTACAGTATGCAATAACTTTTTAATGAACACTGGTAATTACAGAGTTTTAAACAGAAGTAGATAAATATAGAGTTTTATTATGTTATTAAGTCATCATGGATCACCCTTCGACAAGTCGTGTCTTGACAGAGGCAGAACGAAGGGCACTTCTAGATGAAGTTTTGGATGAAAGTGAAAGTTATAGCACTTCGGACACTGACAATGTAATAGTAGACATTGACTATACACAATTAGTGACACCTGGAAGTGACGTCAATAGTGATAGTGAGAGTGACAATGGTAGAGGCAAAAGGTAGGAAGATATTGTACAGGCAGGATCGGGTATGGTTTCCAGCAAGTTTGTGTGGAAAGATATAGAATCATTTACTGCTTCAGGAGAAGCATTTTGTGATGTGTATGGTTTCCAATTCGACACTGCTGGACTAGATGTCGTGAGTTCATTCGAAAAAATCACAAATATATGGTCACTCGCCACTGTGAATGCGTTGATGAATCTTCAGGTGGCTTCTTTGACTGAATGATTTATTGCACTCATCACAAGTATATGGTCTCTCGCCACTGTGAATGCATTGATGAATCTTCAGGTGGCTTCTTTGAGTGAATGATTTATTACACTCATCACAAATATATGGTCGCTCGCCACTGTGAATGCGTTAATGAATGTTCAGGTGGCTTCTTTGAGTGAATGATTTATTGCACTCATCACAAGTATATGGTCTCTCACCACTGTGAATGCATTGATGAATCTTCAGGTGGCTTCTTTGAGTGAATGATTTATTGCACTCATCACAAGTATATGGTCTCTCACCACTGTGAATGCATTGATGAATCTTCAGGTGGCTTCTTTGAGTGAATGATTTATTGCACTCATCACAAGTATATGGTCTCTCACCACTGTGAATGCATTGATGAATCTTCAGGTGGCTTCTTTGAGTGAATGATTTATTGCACTCATCACAAGTATATGGTCTCTCACCACTGTGAATGCATTGATGAATCTTCAGGTGGCTTCTTTGAGTGAATGATTTATTGCACTCATCACAAGTATATGGTCTCTCACCACTGTGAATGCATTGATGAATCTTCAGGTGGCTTCTTTGAGTGAATGATTTATTGCACTCATCACAAGTATATGGTCTCTCACCACTGTGAATGCATTGATGAATCTTCAGGTGGCTTCTTTGAGTGAATGATTTATTGCACTCATCACAAGTATATGGTCTCTCACCACTGTGAATGCATTGATGAATCTTCAGGTGGCTTCTTTGAGTGAATGATTTATTGCACTCATCACAAGTATATGGTCTCTCACCACTGTGAATGCATTGATGAATCTTCAGGTGGCTTCTTTGAGTGAATGATTTATTGCACTCATCACAAGTATATGGTCTCTCACCACTGTGAATGCATTGATGAATCTTCAGGTGGCTTCTTTGAGTGAATGATTTATTGCACTCATCACAAGTATATGGTCTCTCACCACTGTGAATGCATTGATGAATCTTCAGGTGGCTTCTTTGAGTGAATGATTTATTGCACTCATCACAAGTATATGGTCTCTCACCACTGTGAATGCATTGATGAATCTTCAGGTGGCTTCTTTGAGTGAATGATTTATTGCACTCATCACAAGTATATGGTCTCTCACCACTGTGAATGCATTGATGAATCTTCAGGTGGCTTCTTTGAGTGAATGATTTATTGCACTCATCACAAGTATATGGTCTCTCACCACTGTGAATGCATTGATGAATCTTCAGGTGGCTTCTTTGAGTGAATGATTTATTGCACTCATCACAAGTATATGGTCTCTCACCACTGTGAATGCATTGATGAATCTTCAGGTGGCTTCTTTGAGTGAATGATTTATTGCACTCATCACAAGTATATGGTCTCTCACCACTGTGAATGCATTGATGAATCTTCAGGTGGCTTCTTTGAGTGAATGATTTATTGCACTCATCACAAGTATATGGTCTCTCACCACTGTGAATGCATTGATGAATCTTCAGGTGGCTTCTTTGAGTGAATGATTTATTGCACTCATCACAAGTATATGGTCTCTCACCACTGTGAATGCATTGATGAATCTTCAGGTGGCTTCTTTGAGTGAATGATTTATTGCACTCATCACAAGTATATGGTCTCTCACCACTGTGAATGCATTGATGAATCTTCAGGTGGCTTCTTTGAGTGAATGATTTATTGCACTCATCACAAGTATATGGTCTCTCACCACTGTGAATGCATTGATGAATCTTCAGGTGGCTTCTTTGAGTGAATGATTTATTGCACTCATCACAAGTATATGGTCTCTCACCACTGTGAATGCATTGATGAATCTTCAGGTGGCTTCTTTGAGTGAATGATTTATTGCACTCATCACAAATATATGGTCGCTCGCCACTGTGAATGCGTTGATGAATCTTCAGGTGGCTTCTTTGACTGAATGATTTATTGCACTCATCACAAATATATGGTCGCTCGCCACTTTGAATGTGTTGATGAATCTTCAGGTGGCTTCTTTGACTGAATGATTTATTGCACATCACAAGTATGTGGTCGCTCGCCACTGAATGCGTAGATGAATCTTGGTTACAAAAGAAGAATAACCCGACAGAAAAAAATTATAGCACACTGTAATCATATGTGGATATTCTGTACTTTACTTTAGCTGATATTTTCACTGTTTGCTAAACTGCTGAGATATGTTCTTTAGACCAGTGGTATTCAACCTTTTTCGTTCGCATACCCCCAGATATAATTACTCTTCAACTTTGTACCCCCAAAGTTGTTGGTGTATAATTCAAGTTATACATAGTATATAATCTACATCTAAAAAAATTACATTACTGATTGTTCAGTGTTTATCATAAAATAATATTCTTTTAATTTCACATACTCCCTAAGATGTCTTCGCGTACCCCAGGTTGAATACCACTGATATAGACTACTATTAGCAATGACTTTAAGTAATATAGGATTTGAGGTTTTCACAGTGTTGAGTCTGAAGGTGGCTGTCTTTTGGGTTGTAGCGCCTTGTAGTCCGGTAGAGGCATACCGACGTTTCAGAGGCCCTTGCTGCCTCCTCCATCATCTGTCAGACTACACGGCCCAACAACCCGGAATACAGCCGACTTTAAGTTACTTTGTTTCGGAGGAAGGGGCTATAAATACTTTCAATCAATTAACTTACTATAGAACTTTCAAAACAGCTGTTATGAATGTTTAATAACTTGCCTCCTTGTTGATCTGAGTTCTGTACACGTATGTTTACTTATATCTTATATGTTCTAGGCTGTTTTGGAACGTCACAGTCGTAGACTGATGATTGCCACGATGACGCTTAGAGAACATGCAGTTTTTTTTTTTTTGCTAGTGGTCAGATTGTGAAGCATTCTCCATTGCATTTCATATTTTTTACATATGGTTTCCCCATTTCTAAATTGACATTTTAGCGGTGGGTATCGTGAGCTTCCTCAAGAATTTACTTACATTGCCTTAGGTAACAGGCCCCCGTGTGAATGAATGTTGGCCTCTGGCGTGGACGTAAGATCCCGTAAGCCATTTCTGACTTCCTCGGACCTCTGGCGCGGACTTAACACTCCCGCAAGTCCAAATGAATGCGATCACACAGTGACGTAGTCATCATTTGAATACGTTTGTCCCATAACTTGCAATCATCTGTTGTGCCTTGGTACAGCCGGTGATTGCTTACGTCTCCTATGGCAATGTCTAATCGTATGTGGGAAAAGGATGAGCCATTTTTTGGCATTGATTTACAGTACACAAGTCAGCAAGCAGACTCTGTCAGCGGACAGCAGCGCTTCTGTCCACATATCTCAACGCCAGTTCTGACTAACGTCGTCATACGTTACTTGATTCATCTCGGTGCAGTTGCACTTACATATGCTAGCTAAACTGTATTATTTTTTATCCTCTTGTGTGGTCATGACACAAGCACATTTTGATTGGTTCTTTAACACGATGCCCCGCTAAAGGTATTTGCCCTGAATTTCTTCATAAGGTCATATTGATACTTGCTGTTCACTAGTGAGGAATGCATTATGTTAATGGACTGGTGAGTGCCAATGCTTCGGCCCTCCAAATCACTTATAAAACCATGAGTAGCTGTCATGGCAGCAATCAGGACAGTTGGAAGTATTTGCTGATGAGTCGTGCCAGCTTCATGTCAGAGTGGCCATCAAGTTGACTGTGACGGAACGAAGCCCAGCATACAGCGTCTTGTAAGTACGTATATTGGAGTCGTCCTATTTTGGATTTCTCACAATATAAATTTGATTGAGGATCGACTTGTCGATCCATGTAAGCGACTGAAGTGTGCAGGAAAATGTCTTGTCTGTAATTGAGGCTTGTGTAAAATGTCGTCATTATTAGGCTACACAGGGGACTGAAGCAAGACATTGATTTTGCTGTATGATTTATAATATTCGGGAAGATTATATCTTGGGACAAAATTATTGTTCCCCTTTATTATAACGAACTTTGTGGTTGATTTAATTTTGTTACGCTTCCGTACCGCCATTTGCCTCTGTCTTGTCGGCATTGCAGTCTTACCCTGTGAAGTTAATACAATATGCAATTCAATAATGCTCAATATTTTGCATGTACCTTGTATTTAATTCATTGAGGACAATTGTAACTTATTAAAAGTGTTTCCAGGTTATGTTTACGTAGCGCCATACATTAATGTTGTTTTGTATGATGTAAGTCACAGTTTAAAAGTCATTACTGATGTAATAAATTATGTCTTGTACTTACATTTGTGGTTTTCCTTAAAATTGGCCAGAACACGTCTCTAATGTGTGTCCACTGTTTCCCATCAGCAACCCCGTTTATTTCTGTCTCCTCCTGAATGAATAATTCTCTTCCTTGGAAACGAATATTCCAGTTCTTTGCTGACTTCTTCACTCTAAAGCAGCAGAGATGTGTACTTTCCAGATAATTTTTAAGGATTTGACGTTCTTACAGCAGTGGCTTTGACAATGGCCGTCCTCTGGGTTGTTGCGCCGTGTAGTCAGAAGTTCGCCATTTCAGAGGTTCTTGCCAACTCCTCCATCTTCGCCCTGATGGTAGAAGCTTGCCGACGTTTTTGCTGCCTGCATCATGAGGGTGATACCTGTGCAACAACCTAGAAGACGGCCATCTTCAGACTCACTGCCATGAAAACCTCAAATCATGCCAAGGTTTACTCACTCATGATGTCAGGTAGGCGTTTGGTTAAGTTAGAGTTTTCCCTTTAGCTTTTCCAGCATATTTATGCAAATAATTGAAAGTTTTGTTGAATGGGGTTTCTTTTTCCACACCTACCCTCATTGAGCTAGTCGACTGGAGAGAGCTCTGTTGTAAAAATCCCTTTAAGTGATGTCTGATCGACGATCCACTATTTCACCTTACGGGATAACCCAGTGGGCAGTTTTATTTGTAGGCAACCTTGGAATATTGAAATATGTTTAGACATAATCAGAAGGTAATTAAAAATAATTTGCAGGCTAGAATTTTGCCAAATTTAATTAATGATAATTAAGAAATATTCTGTACATGGCAGAAAGGCAGATTGGACCTTTTACTAACATGGAAGCCAGCCATGTCTGTCGAGAAGTGAAATGGTCAATAGAGTATTTCAGGGATGTAAGCTGGACACATGTAATTAATTTTCAGTTTCATGTGTTGTAAATATGTGTCAAGAATCAGTTTATTTCGTGTTTAGACTGTACATTCTTGTCTCCATTCTCATTGCGTTATCAGTCAGGCGTCTTATTACATCCACCAGCCAGCCTCAGAAGAGAGAAGTCCACAGCTTCAGATCATAAGAGTGAAGTCTGGTTGCAGGTAAGAATTAATTTAACATAGAATTCAACATATTTTCCTATGTCCTGGGCTCTGCATCAGAAAGGCTTAGAGAGGTGAACTGTTGTAACGCTGGGGTATCGCGCTACCGAGATTCTACCTAGGCATTTCGCTGTACGTTACAGCAAGTCATTTGTTTTCTGGGCCGCTTGGAATGTTAATTTGCATGGATAAACTTTATTAATACATTAATTGGGGTCTGGCCAAAGGCGAGCATTTGATGTGTATAGCTCGATGATTGATTAATCGAAAGTTTCCAGTAACATTTGAGGTTATGGGACACGATGAAGACTGGTCAGAGTACAATGTTGCTTCTACGAGCAGAAGTTCCTATTCTTTAAATTACGAAGAAAATGTCTTGTGCGCCTCCTGAAGTCAAAATGGAGCTACCGGTCTCTGTGAACTTGTGACGTTCTTGTAGTTCCGGTGAAAATGGGTTAACGGGGAAGTTCCCATGTACGCAGGCGTTAATCTCAATGTGACTGTCGTTTCGTAAATTTGCAATGCGTTGTAACTTATTCGTCATGATTTGATATTGAGTTTATGGGTCATATTTCAACACAGAACAACCAGAGAGCAGATTTTAAAGTGACATATTCCAAAAGCATAATAGATGAAGTAGTAATATAATGGAGAGGGTGAATTATTTCTCTGTGACAATGAAACGCCTTTTTTTTTTGGTCGAACTAGTATCAAATTAGATTTTTAAAATTGTAGTGATTTTCCATGGTTATGGAATATACAATCCGTGGTAACTTTGTCATATGGTGCAGGGATGAACAAGCTGGAAGCCTGAGAAGCAGTGAGTTTTCATTACGTTATTCAGGAAGTGATTTAATGAACTTCATTGATGCTTCCCATGAGGTAGTGCTGCATGGCACTTTTTTTAATAAAACTCCTTCCCAAATTTTGCTCTCGAACATTTTTCTGTGCAGCATTGTTGCACCTTTATGATATTGTTATTTAGCTGTAGTTCATAAATTGGTACCTTCGAATGCCCAGCAATAAAGCAGTAAAAGGTTTCCACCTAAAACGTTCAAATATAGAATAAAGAGAATTTTCAGTGCATAATGGTATTGAACATTGAGACAACATGGATTACGTCTACATTTTTTCGTATGTTTTGTTGTTACGTGGTGCATTCGTGTTAGGTTTGTGTACACAGGGTTATTCATAATTCCCCTTTTATTACAAAAAATCGCTAGACTTGAATGGTGCAATGGATGGTAACATAGGACATGCCGATAGAAAGAGAAACTCTCCAAGTTTATTTTGCATACCTCATAAATGCTCTACGTGTCCGCCCTTTGTGACGCGGCAGACTTCAAGCCCATAATCGATTTGTGAGATGGCAGCGATGATTTTTCTTCGCAATTCATGCAGATTCCGTGGCAGAGGCGGTACAAAGACCTGGTCCTTAACGTACCCCCATAAGAAGAAATGACATGGCGTCAGGTCAGGTGATCGGGGTGGCCAACGAAGCAGCCATGGTATGTAAAATAAACTTGGAGAGTTTCTCTTTCTATCGGCATGTCCTATGTTCCCATCCATTGCACCATTCAAGTCTAGCGATTTTTTGTAATGTGTCAGGGAATTATGAATAACCCTGTATATGTATTTTTTTTCTAGAATTATAGAGAAGTAGTCTGTGCTCGTTAATAGACTGTACAGTGTGTTGTGTCATAACTTGTTTGCGTTCCCGCGATCTGAAATATACAGTGAGTTCTCTGACAGAGTTCAGCGCGCATGTATAGGCCACATTGACAAAAACCAGAATTTAAATTCGTTTTAACACATCGTTACGAGGTTCACCCTAATTTATTCTCGTTACTCACACGAAGAGATGTTCATACGAAATAAGTGTAATCATCTAATGGCATTTGGTCACAAAATAAAAAATATACGTATTTTTTTCATCGGTGGAGTTTGAATACGTGCGCAGATACATAGTTGTTTCCACATCTAAGTAGACTTCAGTTTCTCCCTTTACTGCATTTTCCACATCCCTCGCCCCCAGTATTTCACTTCTCCAAATAATCTTAAAGAAAGATATCCCACGTAAAGCCAATGTAAAATTCACGGCAAGTGGCTACTGCTTGGTTCAACAGGTACGGAATTCATAACATAAATTTCTCCAGAGAATGTCGCTAGCATCCAACATGCCGAGAATCAAAAATGTTAATAAATTAAAGAAATCTTGCCTTTCTGCTTTGAGCGGTCTGCGAACACCGATTGGTTGTTACGCCCACTTAAAGGTTCAGTTTCGACGCCATCTTTCGGCATTTCTCATTGCACCACCTCCCTCCCTCACCCCCTTGCCTTACTCCATTTTTGTTCGTCTGTGGTGCGACTGCAACGGCACAGATTATAAAGCTCATGGCATTTGCCTTCTTTGTTCCAACGGGTTATGACTTTCTTTGATGGAAGATACTCGGGCTACAAACCGCGTCATGTGGTAGTGGTGGTTTAGCCCGAGAATCTTTCGTCAGCTTCGGTCGCCGCGAAAGCTTCACTTTATTCATACATGACTTTCTTATCTGCCCCAAATTGTGTGTTTTTACTAACCTTTCAAAGTACTGTGAACGCTTGAGGTAAGTAAATATGCTCGGTTTACTTTTCTTTGTTTTAAAATCGTCTTATGCCATGTAGTTCATCGTCGTGATTATAGTTTACATTCCATTTGACCGTACCTCTCCTGCCCCTAACTCAGCAATGTTTTAAGGGAGAGTACGATGTACAGGCAGTTCACAGTGATCAACTGGGCAGTGAGAAAAAAAAATTGTTGCAAATCCAAAACATATCTACTTCAAGATTTTGTTTGTGTTGAATAATACTCCTTGTCATCCACCATTGTTAGTAATTGTGATGGAATTAGTATATTTTTGTTATATTTCTCTTCTGGTATTTTTTAAAAAATACATAAAAAGCTTTGTTTGCCTCCCAACATAATCCACTTCTTCAACTAATGTTCCAAGGAGTACATGCAACATTTAAGGCTTATAACCTCATAAAGGCACTTACTAAATTTAATAGTCATCTGATGGTGAAAATATACCCACTGTGTTGGAATTTGGGAAATTCTTCAACATTAAAGATGCCATAGACATAAGCAGGACCTGAAATGAAGTTTCTCTAACCTTCATGAATGGAACATAGAAAAAAATGGCTTCCTCATGTTGTTTATGATTTTTCAGACTGGTTTTGTTGAAATTAAAAACAATTTCAAAGGTAGTGCATTTTACTGGCAAAAGAGAATTAACTTTGACAAATCGATGAAGTAGATGGGATCAGGTCGGAGTCACATAAAGAAAATCTGGCAAATGAAGAACTTGGCCCTGTTCTGAAGACATGAAGACAGATCTGACGAAGGACGTTTTTATGCAGTTTCAGTAACTATTAAGAAGTTCTGAGTGAGATTGAGGAACATGATAAATTTTGAGGTTTGTTCAGATGTTGCAAAAACCACAATGAACACACCAAAGCCTTATTACTTGTTGAAAGAAATGAGGCAGTCGGCGTCTCAGCCGAGGCTCGACTTCCTCCTTGGAAACCGGCACAAAAGGCCCCAGACAAAAAAACTTGAGATGAATCACGTCCGTCCAGATCAACTGGAAAAGCACAAGGCTTCCTGCCTTATTTTTTGATCGTTAAAATCAAGAAGATCACTTCCTGATGATGTCAACTCTTGTGAGGTTGGGTTAACTCAATCTACTGTCTCCTAGGTGACTCTGATGTCCACTCCATCATTACCCAGGATTGTTGTTTCATATTTTATAAATTGTTTCTATGCATAACATGATTTACCAATAATGAAGCACTGATTATAAATGTGCCAATAAGATGTCAACTAGGAATGCAAATCCCCTTATTTACATTATTTCTAGTGGGAAATTTGTGTTGAAAGAGGATTATTTCACCATAAACAAGGTTTTACTTGAACACAGATATCAGTCGGTATCTCATCTAAATTTATTTTTCTGATGTCAGACAGTAATGGTGAATTTTGCAGGAAAATATTATATCATAATATGACATGATTTGGTTTTTTCCTGATCTTCAAAACATTTTTGTTTTTAATTTGTTACTGAAATTTGTATTCTGAAAGATAATTAAGAAACAAACAAACAGGAAGTTTTGTACACATCACAGATTATTTATTTGGCTTCTTTATCAGTTCATGTACAAGAAAATTATGTAAAATTATTTGTGCAAGTGCATGCTTTTTAAACAATAAGTGAATATTTTTAATTGTTGCACATTAGTGTGAGACAAAGTGTGTAAAGCTCATTTTCTATCCCCCAGGCGATATGTGATTGAATGTGGAACACCAGTGAAATGATATTCACAGTGTAAAGGTGAAAGGACTCTCAGGGAAGCCACCGAGTGCCACTTTGACTGCCACAAAACTCACATGGACAGCCCTGGGAGAGAACAAGAAGCCGGCGACGAATCGCCTGACCGAAGGCATGGCCACTAGTAAGTGATCGCTTCTGAAGTTAAATTTACCTGTTGCCTCATTGTCGTTACATATCTTTTTGCAGGAACTACATATTATGCAGATTTTGGGAGAATATCCTACATGTCATTTGAAGTAAATAATGTTTAAATTCAGAATTTTTATCAAGTTAAAATCTTATGGAAAAAAAAGCAGTTTTTCCCGTTGGCCGTAATTTGTGACTCTCGGCATTTGCAACCAAATTATCAACTTCACTGACAGAATTGTTATGAAATTAAAAGTTTATAACCAAATTCAGATTTCAAAGTGGCCTTCAGCTCTTATGCATATTGGTACGTTACGCTCTACTGCGACAGTGGCTTTATTTATGTGTTTTTATGACTGTGGCCTATTTACAGCTTGCTTGAATGTTACACTTTAGATAAAATAATAATGAGCTCAAGTCTGGTTTTTAGACGGCCATGGAATTGGTCCACCTTTCCCTTTCATGTTCATTGAAAACTTTCTTTCTGTAGTCTTTTGCCTCGGTGATGAATTATGTAGGCGTTGCATCATATTATATTTATATTAGTATTATTGTTTACGTAGGAACATTTTACTGTATAAATAAAGCTGTATGAAGCAGCCGTCAGAGTACGATGGACCACAAAGATGACTGACCGCTATTTCACACTATGAATTTACAAAAATTCTCTACTGACAGTCACTTTGAGCTACCTCATGCTTTTTGACATGTGACCGAGAATTTAAATTTATTATAATGGCGAATGCCTAACCCAGGGGTGGGGAACCTTATCATGTTGGAAGTCCGTATTAATTTAGCTGTAATCAAATAAGGCCGCATTCAAGAAACTTCAATTAGATATACTTAAAAATGTACATTATTTTGTAAAAATCTAACTGCTATGTACTTAGTAATTTCAAAAGATGAAAACTATTTATTAATTTTAAAGTTAACTAATCTTTTAATGACTTTGTTGTGTCTGCTTTTTGTTGGAAAGCATTTGAATGTTTGGTTGCAGTTTCAGTTGATCATAGGATTTGTTCTCTAAAATTTGGATTCAGTCAAAAGGCCACACTTAAGGACCTAGAAAGCCACAGGTTCCTCATCTCTGGCCTAACCCATGGATAAAATGTATTTCACAGGCAATAATTGCCTTTCAATCTGAAATTTAATTAATATTTAGTGTGACATTCAGTTCAAGATTGTCACGTCGAATGCATGTTGAGGGAACGATGAACATTATCCTGCAAAGTCCCACGTGCATGTGATCGTGGAACGCCGTATTCCGTCGGCGTCTGTACGACGGCTTTGTTCAACAGTGATGAGTAATTCATGGGGTTAGTGTTGATAAACTGATCTATTCCCCATAGACCTTTATTTTATAGAATATGCAGCTGAAGAGTAGAAGATTAATTGTTTTTAAAATTCTATTCAAATTGTTGGAAATAATAATTACAAGAGAAAATATAAATCACTGTTATTTATAACTTTCCAAAGGATTGCCAGCCACAACCCATGGGCTCCTTTATGTCCGCTGAAGAGGAAATGGGTTTCCACAAAGGTTTTAAAAATTTATAATAAATAATTCCTCGATTAGTCACCGATGACTGCGAAGCGCGTGGTGATTTCCGCTGATGAGTTGTAAATAGATGTTGATCAAATATTTTAATTGAGGGGTTCATATGCTGACGTTTCCTAAAAGAATGATTTACTATCAGTTTCTCACGGAGACTATTTTTGTGAAATAGAGTGTGATAAAAGAATTTTTTGGAAAATGCCTCGATGAGTGAACACAAGTTACAGATCGATTCATAACCTCATTATTTGAGAATGCATTTTTTTTGTAGTTTAATACCATGGCTACTACAAAAATTTTGCCGCCATCTTGTGCTTCCCACCTTCCAAAAAGAGACCTGGGTTTGAGGTAGGTTTTAAGGCTTTTGTCTTCAAGGTCTGAGGAAAACTGAGGTTAGTCAGTTTTGGGGCCAAAACTTGAACTTAGGGTCTCTAAATTATGAATTAGGCAAGCCAATCACATTTTATCACATGCCTGTGTCCAGTCTTCTTCAATAATGGGGGAAAACTATTAACAGTAAGTTCAACAAGACAAGGGAGGTTAAGTCCACAGCTGAATACACGCGTGTTCTTTGTAAATTCTGAATTCTAAAGGCTCCTATGTGACGTAATTTTCAAATAACATTACGTCACTTTAATTTCCAACTGCACAGATCATGTTGTCTCTTGTCTTCTATGACTGATGTAATTCAAAAAGTGATTTGGTTCTGTGTTGCTTGGGGTCATGGGATTAAGACATGGGCAAGTCAAATATTCTTCCCTGTAGCCGCCATGTTGTTATTTTACATTATTAAAAGAATTACTATGTAAAATGTTTGCATTTTCGGAAAATGTTTTACCAAACGCCGTTATATGACCCTGTTGTAAGTGCCCAAAGTCGAACTCATCTTTCACCCTCGATGTTGGTACAATCGATTGTAGAGTAGATTCAAATGGCATTGAGTTCATATCAAATTTTATCCACATTCATCTAATGGTTTTGAGGTTAAATCAGGCGGACAGAAATACAGAAATTATTTGCCCTATACGCTTACGTCTTACGCATCGTACAGAGAGAGCACAAGAACCTAACCTAACCTAACTTAACTTCACCTAACCTAAACTAACCTAAAATAGTCAAAGTTTCCTTTTCTGCAGCCGCAAAGTTGCCCAATTTCTGTTTTATATTATACAAAAAATGTCAAATTTTCGTATTTTCCAAAGTTCACAACCATACGACATTGTACGGCCTTAATGAAGCTCGATATCTCGGGGCACCGCGTCGCAGGTTTTGACTATCGCTTTTGAAAAAATAAAAACAAAATAAAACAATTGTCTTACTGACAATGGAAGATACGTGATCTTGAGTGCACTCGGAGGCACGGAATTTCCCCCCTGTTCAAGTGATAAGTGCCACGGACGAAGAATGATCAATACGCCTCCATGTTGACTTGAGGGATCGTCCAACAGGTCCGCGCGCTGGCACTTGATAACGCAAGGGCGATGACCGATGTAGTGGCGCACCTCCTGAAGATTAATCACGACAGACGTCGAAGATGCATTTCAAAACATCTTGAGGAAGAAAGTGAGTGCAGTGAGATTCTGCGGGACATAATAAAGCCGGCGATTGGCAGCAAATGCCGAGGATTTGCCACGGAGACTCGTTTCGTAGTAATGCCTCCCCCTCCTTATGTTTCCCACGCTCATAC